CCCCCACCCCCACCTCCACCCCCGCAACAAGGCACCAGCCATTTAAATTCTGGGCAGAGTAGCGCTGACACCTAGGGGTGGATGTCAAAAGGGCAGGACCAGGAGGAGCCCAGCCCAAGCTCCCCCTGGAGCAGGGGAGAGAGGACCATCCCTCCTGGAGGCTCCCAGGGACTTGCAGCTCTCCCCTCATCCAGCCCCTAAGTCCACCTCCCTCCACGTGGATGCCCTGTGCGGAAGGGCAGAAGGGCGGAAGCGTCCCCACCTCGGTTAACAACCAACCAGTTCTGCACCCCACCATGTCCTCTCTCGGCCACTGGGAGAGGATGGAAGCAGGGCCCCAAGACTCCCAAGCAGATGCAGCCCAGGATCTGGGAACACAGACCAGGAAGGACAGGCTGTGGAGTCCCCACCCCGGGGTGGGGGGCGGCCGGGAACATTCTCTCACCAAACTCGCTGGCGCACAGATGTTCGATGATGGCCTCAGATTTCAACTCGTTGTCACACGGAGGACACACCGTGGTGCCTGGAGAGAGAAGCGGGCACAGATAGCATTAGACGTGGGGGAGGGGACCTCTGGGGGGGGGGGGAGCCCCTCTGCTGGGCTCCTGAGGACGGCCCCCAGAGACCCGGCTGTGAAGGCACCCATAAACCCAGCATCCGTCTCTGTAAGTGGTGGCTGGCCAGGGTGCCACGGGTCCCTGGGGACACGGCAGGCTGGTTACCCTCCAAAAAGATCCGCATTCTGGCTGTTCCTTTCCTGCTGCTTCTCCTCCCTCCTTGAAATGACGCCACCGTGTATCCCAGAGACCTGCCCCTTCCAACTTGCAAACTCCCAAGAAGACAGATCAAGCTGAGCAGCCCTCAGTCGCGCCCAGCACCCCCCCGCTCCCCCGTGCAGGGGCTACAGCAGGGTCTCTGGCGGGGCAGCTGCAAAGGGGCGGGAAAGTGCCAGCCAAATGGGAGGACGAGCAGGATGGAGACAGCTCCGCGAAGGCTCTTTCATGAGCAACTGTGAAGCACTTTGAAGAGGAGCGGCGGGGCGGGGAGGGGGCTGGGGCGGCAAGCCCCTGGAAGGCTTCTCCAGGCCACGGGGTGCTCTCCAGGCCTCCAGGAGGCGGCTGTGGGGTAGAACCCGCCCAAGGCGGAGGTAGCTCGTCACCATCCTCACCCTGCATCAGGCTGAGAGGTGAGAGAACAACCAGGCGGAACCCAAGGGCTCCACACCCACCTTCGCTGGACTGCAGCTGAAGCCCCCGAAGACCAGCCTGGAGCCGGAGGGTGCAGTTGAGAAGGGGGTGGGGGGGCGGTCAGTACACTGAGCGCCCCCTGCTCTCAGTCCTCACCCCTCACCCCTACCCAGCCTCTTGCGGCAGCATCTCCCACCCCGCCGGGTGACGGGGAACTGAGCAAAGCCTTCCACGGTGGAAGAGCAGGAGGGCGCTGGCCCTCCCCCCTCCCCATCTTCTCCCCAGCTCCAAGCAGGATGCCGAGTGGTCCACAGACACCCCCGTCCCGTCTGCATTGGAATGTCAGGAAGTTCAGGGAACACAGAACTGAAAGGTGCTTGTGTGTGGTGCACACGTTCCTGAGATCTGCGCATGCACAGGCTCTGGTGTCGAAAGCATCTATCACGGGGAATAAAATAAAAATTGTGAATGGACTGCAAAAGTTCTGGCACCAAAATGAGCATATCTCCTCAGCCGATTTTCCATGAATCTTACTGACACGCTCCAGTATCTGCAGCCAGCACCAAACACTGTCCATATTGACAGCAGTGAGAACCACACGCCAGGGGCCAGGTAGCCACCCGTGACACCAGCATCCCACATCACAGCAGTCCCAGCTGCCCCACTTCCCATCCAGCTCCCTGCTAATGCGCCTGGGAAAGCAGCAGAGGATGGCCTAAGTGCTTGGGCCCCTGCACCCACGTGGGAGGAGACCCAGAGGAAGCTCTTGGATCCTGGCTTCGGATCAGCGCAGCTCCAGCTGTTGCAGCCATTTAGAGAGTAAACCAGTGGATGGAAGACACTCTCTCTCTCTCTCTCTCTCTCTCTCTCTCTCTCTCTCTTTCTGCCTCTGTCTCTGCCTCTCTGTAACTCTGCCTTTCAAAGAAATAAATCAATCTTTAAAACACACACACAGTGTGGAAGTCACCCCCTTACAAGGACCTAAGACTATAATCCTGATACAACAAGTAGCAAGGTCCAGGCAGCCAAGAACCCAGAGGCCAGGGCTCCTCCAGTCGGCTCTGCGCAGGCTCCTTTAGGAGCTGAGATGAATCCAGGGCAGCCCGCTCTGCACTCACTTCAGTTCCATCTGGGCCTCAGCACCTCTGCAGGCGGAGTGGCCCCAGCCCCTGCAGGTCCACAACAGGGCTCCCTCCATCCCAGCTCCACTCCAGGCTGCCAGCAGAGCTGCTTGCTAGCTCGCTTGCTCGCTCGCTGCAGAGAGGCGAGAAGGAGTGCATAATGCGATAGTCATCCCTGCCTCCGCCTGCTCCTCCTGCTCCTGCTCCTCCTCCTCCTCCTCCTCCTCCTCCTCCTCCTCCGGGGGTCAGCAGGGCCCCTCAGCTACCCAGCAGGACAAATCCCCCCAGTCATCCAACCGAAAGGTAGAACAAAATCACTACTTTAGGGTTGAAAGCGAGTGAGCGAAAAACCAAAAGGTTTTGTTTTGTTACTGTTGAACGGAAGCTTGCACGCTGGCTGCAAGCAGGATTAAGTGAACTTTTAAAAATCCACACACACACCAGTGCTCGCTCTCACGCGCTCTCTCTCGCTCTCACACACTCAGAAGCCCATGTGGCTTAGACACTCCCCTTAGGGTGTGGGAGGGAAGGTTCATTTCTCATGATGAGGTTTATGCTTAATAGCACACGGCTTAGCCAATACCCCAGCACCAACCGTGTGCGAGCAGGAACCCGAAAGACATCAAGTGAAGTACGCAAAGCCGGGCCACTGCTCCGGAAATACAGTTTTCACTGCAAGAATGACCGAGTAGAAGACTGGGGGTGCGATTATTCTCACCCCAAAGTGCCCGCACCTATCCTGGAGCCACCACCCGCTGGGTTTCCATGATCAGAGTGTCACCTGCCCCTGCACGCGTGCACACACACACACACAGTGCTCAGCTGCCCCGGACAAAGTTACATGGGGCTCCCGACCCCAAGGGGGCTCCTCCACGGGGAGACCCAGCCCCAAGTCCCACGCATAGCTTCTGCGGCTTTGCTCAGCAAAGAACCAAGAGGGACAAGAGGGACGAGGGAGAGGCACAAGCTGCATCCAGGAGATGGCAATGGTGGAGCCCCACCACCACCAACTCCATCCTGTGGGGGTGCTGGGCTGGGAGTGATGCCCCCTGGTGAGCCGTGTCCCTCCCCCCCCCCGCTTTCCCTCAGACTGGCCACTTCCCCTGCAAGCTGTCCCCACTGAGATCGCTGAGTCTGGTCCACCCCCAACCTGGCAGGAGGAGCAGCGGCCACTCAACCTCCCTGGGCAGGGCCAGGCTAGTTCCCAGCCGCTAGAGGAAGCGAAAGCTCAGCTCCACAACTCAGTGCACTGCTGTGGTCGGTTACACCTCACAACAGCACACAAAGTGCTCTCAGGTAGAGATGCTGGGACCCCGGGACCCCACCACCACCATCCAGCAGCCTCTGCCTCTCCCACCCACCTTGGAGCCAACAGCCTTCCAAGCTCAGGGCGTCCCTTGCCCTACACCTAATCTCGGGGCGCCTGTGCACCCCCTCTTCTTGGCACCAGCAGCCGAGGGGAAAGACGCTCACCCTTGAGCATGCAAGCCCCACCCAGCCACCCATCCCCACCCTGGGGTGGGGAAGTCTGGCCTGGCCCAGCCCAGCCTCTGAGCCTACACACTGCTCCCCACGAAGCTGCTCCCCAAGAACTGCAGGGCTGGCTGAATTCACGCTGGGTTTTAGTTTTGGTTTTGCTCTTCTGCCTCCCCAAGATTTCTCTTCTTGTTGTTGTTCTCGCGAAAAAAGTGACTTTTTTAAACAGGGGAGGCTGGGGAGCCGGGAGCTTGGCAGCCTGCAAAGTTTTACTCCAGCGGCTAATGACATTTTTATATTTCTAATGACCTGCGGGTTTGCGCACATGAGCGAGACGTGCGGCCGTGCGGGAGGACCCGAGAAGCGAGTTTCCGACCCGCTTACACCCCGCCGGCGATCCAGGGCTGCGACCCGCCAGCTCTCCGCCCTGCGCTCTGCCGGGTCCGCGGCGGGCCCGGGGGGCCGCGCCACTAGCTGAACGGCCGGCTAGGGGAGCAGGGTCCTATCAGCGGGAAAAAGACAGGAGTCACGAACAAAACTCGCCTCCGAATCTACTCGACCGAGCTCGGGCCGGCGGCTTCCCACCGCCTTCCCTGCCCCGCACCGCACCACCTTCGTTGTGGGCTAGGGGTTGGGGGTGCCCGAGACGCGAGGAGAGGAGCTCTCCGCTTCGATCGCCAGCGCGGGGCTTTGTTCCAGGTGCGCAAAAACGCGACCCTGGGTCCCGCCGAGAGCCAAGGCGCGCAAGCCCCGCGGGGCGCTTGGCAAGCGCGCGCGCTCCGCCCGGCCCAGCCCGGCCCGGTCCAGGGGCCGCCGCTGGAGCCCAGTCCAGCCCAGCCCGGTCCAGCCCGGCCGCGCTGGCCTCACCTTGCGGCTTGGCGGCCTCGGTGGCGTTGGGCGGCGTCATGGCGATGCAGACGTCCCCCTCCGGGAACTTGTCGCATCTTAGCATCTCGGGCCAGTGGAAGCCGAAGAACTGCATGACCGGCTCGCACGCGTCGCGCACGGCCTCGCAGAGCCAGCGGCACGGGTGCACGGGCCGGTCGAGGCACACGGGCGCGAAGAGGGCGCACAGGAAGACCTGCGTGCCTATGTGGCAGTTCTTGTTGAGCAGCGGCACCCAGCTGCTGGCCTGCTGCTTCACCTCGGCCATCGTCTCGTGCTCCAGCAGGTTGGGCAACACCATCTTCTTGTAGCCCACGGTGTGGCACAGCCGCAGGTCGGCCGGGATGTCCACGCACTGCGGCGGCTTGCTGTAGAAGCGCCCGCTCGGGTACGGGCCGACATCCGACTGGAAGCTCACGTAGTCATACTCGCTGGCCGAGCCCGCGGCCAGCAGCAGCCCGGCGGCCAGCGCCAGCAGCAGCGCGCCCGGGGCGGCCCCGCCGCCCATGCCGCCTCCCGCCACGTCGGGGCGGCCGCGCCCGCAAACTTGCAAGCGGCCCCGGGGGACAAAAGGCGCCGTGCCCACCCTGCCCGGCGGCGCAGCGGCCGCGCGCGCAGCTGCCCGGCCCCGGCGTGCGGCGTGGGGTTGGCGGGGGGGGGGGGGGGGAGGTTGGGGAGGTGGGCGGCCCCGGTGCTGGGCCTGCCGCGGCCGGGAGCTGGCGCGGGAGTCGGCGGCGCCGGGGACGCGAGGCCGCTGCGGGCTCCGAGGCGCGCGCGCGGCGGGCGGCGGGCGGCGGGCGGCGGGCGCGGCACCGACTCCCGCGGCTGCAGGGCCCCGAGTGCGCCGCGCTCCTGCGGCCGGGCCCGCGGAGCCTCGCGCGCAGCCAATCAGCTCCCGGCTGCCGCGGGCCGCGCGCCTCGCCCCGCCGCTCGGCGGCGCGAGGGGCCAATGGCTGCCCTCGCCGGAGGGCTCGGTTCGCAGGGACCGGACGCGGGGCAGCCCCCTCCTCTCCGCCCCCCTGCACGATCGAGCCCTGCCAGTGCGAGAAGCGGCAAGGGACGCGCCCCGGGGAGCAGAGGCGCAGCGGGCGGGAGCGACGTGCGGGGCGCGCTCTCGTGCGCGGGCGGAGGAGCCGGGCCTGCCTGCCCTCCACACTTCTGGCCTGGCTCCGAGAGCCCGCGCTGCGCTCCCCGCAAAGGCTGAGCCTGCCCTCGTCCCGGCCGCTTGGGGGACCTGCGAGGGCCGCCCCGCGGCGGGGCTGCTGGGCTCCTGGCCAGGGCGCGCAGGAGGTGCGTTCAGAACGCAACAGCCTCCCAGGTCGGATAGCGGGACAGGTGGCCCGCAGCGACGCGCAGGGCCGCTGGCTGGAAATACGCTTCCCCGAGGTGTCCGCTTAACTAAATGCATAAGTAGGCACCCCAGCTCAAGCCCCAGCCCAGCCGCCGGCGCGTCTGTGTGTGCAGGAGGGTAGGCATGGACGTGTTGGCAACGCAGAAAGCCAAAGCATTCCAAGCACACGTGTGCACTTACGGGCCTGGAGTGCGTCAATTACGAGGCGGTGGCTCGGGCACAGATGCTGCCGTCAGACCCGCTCCAGGCACCGCGAGGGTCCCGGTCAGGCAGGATGATGGTGGCAGGGACGCAGCTGCCAGCTCAGCCTTCCGGGGTCCAGCTCCCGGGGCGTCAGGAGGAGTGGGTGAGCAGGACTGATGCCAGGGGCAGGGGGCAGCAGTGTGTGTGTGGACCGAGGCCAAGATGCTGAAAAGCAGTGTTGCATGGCGCAGTGCCGTGGCTGTGTGGCCAGGGGACCGCGTGTTCGTGACGCTCGGGGGCCGCAAGCTTCGCGCTCTCGCACACCTATTTCTTTTGAAGGACGGCATCCAAGGCAGACCACTGACGCCGTGTTCTTAAAGCCATCGAGCCCACGCGGCAGTGACGCGTCCGGCGCACGCTCTGGAAGCACCGTGGATGGGGCAGCAGGGTGGGGAGGGACGGAGAAGCTAGAGCGGGACTTTGGCCAGGGGCTAAATCTGAAACAAGCCGTGATGTCCAGACCCAGGAGCCAGGGGAGACATTCCTTACAGAAAAGAGACCCCAGTAAACCCCAGGAGGCAAAGGTGCCTCCATCCAAGGGATACTTAGAGAAGATGTTGCTGCGGGGGGTCCCGTTCTGGTCATCCCGGGCTCTTCGTTCCAAGCACGTGTGTGTGTGTGTGTGTGTGTGTGTGTGCACCACTGGAAAGTGACTTCCTCCTCTCACCTCCGACTCAGGACAAACCGCTGCTGCCTCCAGTCTGCTGTTGTCCCCAGGAACAGGTGGGACTTTGGTCAGATCGCAGCTGCAGTTCAGGAAGTTAGTCCAGGGCCCCGCACCTCCAGCAGCCCTAGAAATCCATCCTCCCACCCCACCCCTGCACCCCGAGGACCCAGCCTATGCCTGGTCACTGCACCTCCATTTTGGCCACCCCTTGCCCCCTTCCCACCACCGGACTCTCAGTGGCCTTCCAGCTTTAGATAGAATCTTCCTGGCCCCAGGCTGGAGGCTGGATTGTCTTCAGATCCAACAGGGTGTGATAGTAACAGTAGGACCCCAGACCCCTTGTGGCTGCTCCTGAGACCCTAGGGGGACACTCCCAGTCCCCGTTCTGCTCCACCCTGCCAGGACACAGCACCGCGGCTGCGCAATAGATTTGGGCAGTGTGGAGACAGGCCGCCTGGGCTTTGCAAATGTCAGGGAAGAATCTTCCAGACCTGGAGTTGAGGCATCTTTTAGTCCAGCATCTTGTCAGAGTGAGGGTCCCTCGGTAAGGCAGCTGCCCCCACTGGCCCCCTTCCCTTCCCTGGGACACAGCCTCCACGTCCAGGCACGCCACTAGAATGTTCTTCCTCCTTCTAGAATGTTCTTCCTTCTTGGAAGAAACTCTGCTCCGGGTAATTTCCACTCACGGGCACCAACTCCTGCCCATCGGTCACCCCGGGAAAATGCAGCAGGCAGACCCTGAGGGGTGCAGCTGGGGCCACAGCACTGTTCCTCTGCTCAGATGGACACTACCTGCCCCCGCGCACACCCCACCACCATGGCCCAGGAGTGGCTCTGTGAGCTGGGCTTGGCAGGTTCTATCCATTGCTGATTATGTGAGTGTGCTCAGAAGCACATGAACTGTGGGTTCGTACAGCACCATCTGGAAAAGAGGGGCTCACCAGGCTAATCCTCCACCTTGCGGCGCCGGCACTCCGGGTTCTAGTCCCGGTTGCTCCTCTTCCAGTCCAGCTCTCTGCTGTGGCCCTGGAAGGCAGTGGAGGATGGCCCAGGTCCTTGGGCCCTGCACCCACATGGGAGACCAGGAGGAAGCACCTGGCTCCTGGCTTCGGATCAGTGCGGTGAGCCGGCTGCAACATGCCAGCCATAGCGGCCACTTGGGGGGTGAACCAACGGAAAAAGGAAGACCTTTCTCTCTGTCTCTCTCTCTCACTGTCTAACTCTGCCTATCAGAAAAAAAAAAAAAAAGGAAGAAAGAAAAGAAAAAAGAAAAGAGGGGACCAGAAATCAAAGGCTGGGTTTTACTACGAGTTTCAGAAGAGAGCAATTAAGACGCCACTTGGCACAGCCGGGTCGAGGTTTCAGCCCCAGCTCTGACTCCGATTCCAGCTTCCTGCTAATGGAACTCCCCGGAGGCAGCAGGGGGTGGCAGTGCAAGTGACCAAGTGACTGGATCCCTGCCACTCCTGTGGGAGTCCTAGAATGAGTTCTTTGTTCCTGGAATGAGTTCTTGCTCCCAGCCCCAAACTATTACAGATATTTAGGGAGAGTGAACCAGCATCTCTCTCTCTCTCTCTCTCTCTCAACTTAATTAGTCATTTGTGTTTGAACAAAAGAAACATATTAGCATAAGTATGTATTAGCCCAACTATTGCAAGCAACACATTGTATCTGATTTGCCACTTTGACTGGTCATCCTATATTTTATCTGGCAAACCCACCTTCTCACCCGGCTAGTATGGCCTCCTCCTCCTCCATCACTTCCCTCCTGCACCCCATCACACCGACCAGGCTCTCCGCCCATGGCAGAGAGCCCACACGTCATACCTGCATTTTCTAAGTGTGTGTTTCTGGGCTGCCTCGAATCCTACATCCAGGCCAGCTCACACCCAGCGCCTAGCACCCCGCACCCCGCACGGTGCCACCTCTACATGGAGGTGCTCAGGAAGCCCCTCCCCTCCAGAAGTGACTGCACACACCGTAGCCCAAGGCAGGTATGGATTGAGCATGGATTTTGCACTGTTTCCCGAGAGCTAAGGCAAGTAAGCACGGATCGCTCGCATAGCTCTCCTCCTTTGAGGAAAGGCACAAAAAAAAAATTTTTCCAGATCTGAATTGCTGGGCCGCCCACCAGGTCCCTCCCTAGAGAGTGCAGCGTGTGTCTGTTGCCTCTCTCCCCACCCCAGAGCCGCCAGATGCACAGGGCTTTGTCCCAAACCTGCGCCCTGCAGGGCCTGTGGGAGGGGAGTTCCAGGCGATGAACAGAACTTTGTGGAAACCTCACATGGGCACTCTTCCCACAGGCGGTGGCAGGGACCCGTTTCCCGATGGATCCTATGGTTCCCTCCCTAATCCTCCCGGGCAGCCCAGGGCCAAGGGCTCAGAGGCAGAGCAACCGGGGAAACAAGCAGGATGCCGGCTGGGGGAGGGGCAGGCCCCGCTGCTCGCCCCTTCCCGCGCAGGGGTCCTTGTGGCTGTGGCAGTGCTCACTCAGGGGACCAGGCCTCCTCCCCCCACCACGCTTCTTCCTGCGGGCTGATGCTTATGTCCTGGGAAGCAGAGTGGGGTGCAGAGCCCGACACTCCCACAAGGCAGCATGCCTGGCTCTGTCCCAAGTTCCAGTAGGAGGTACACACAGTACTGTGTACAGGCGGCTGCCCAGGAGTCCTGTGTAGCTGTCCCACCATGGCCTGGGTGCCCAGAAGCAGCCTTCTAAAGCAGGACTTATCCAGATGTGATACCAGGAGCTACAGCAGCCATCTTGCAACCATGAGTCACAAACACAGGGACCAGAAAGAAAGGGCTGGGTTGTGAGGAATGACTACATCAGCCCACAGTGCTTATCCCAGAATTCCTGTTAGGCGAGACCTACAATTCCTCTCCTTCGTCTGTTTAAATCCAAAGTCACTTGGGGTTTCCCTTCTTGGCAGCCACAGCCGAACCTAAACCGCCACAGATTTGGAAGGAGGGACTCTTGTAGCTGGCAAGAAACTCAAAGGCTGCAGGCTTTGTTTTATTCTACTTTTACTGTGTCTAGGACTTTGGGACTCAAAGTATTGTCCCTGGAACAGCAGCATGGGCACCTCTGAAGCAGGATCTCAGGCCCCACACTCAGAATCTGCATAGTAGCAAAATTCTCGGGCCAGCTTAGTGGCAAAAAGGTTTAAGTAATCGGCATCTCGTATCCATGCACCCATTCGAGTCCTGGCTGCTCCACTTCCCATCCAGCTCCCTGCTGATGCTCCTGGGGAAGCAGTAGAAGACGGCCCACGTGCTTGGGCCCCTGCACCCACGTGGCAGACCTGGATGGAGTTCCTGGCTCCTGGCTTCAATCCTGCCCAGCCCTGGCTGCTGTGGGGGAGTGAACCAGTGGATCGAAGTTCTC